AAATCTGGACAAAACTATTTATCATTTTTAGGGGAAACATTTCAAAATGGAACTGACGGAATAGCGAAAAAGTCTGCACAGGTTACTTAGCTAGCTTAAAGTACTCCTCAAACTGCAAACCTGGCAAACTTGGTTTCCCCCCCATCCAGCATATCCAAACTAAATGACTTGTATGTACTATCTATAATCTATTCTAGGTTAAAATAGGGACTCCCAAGAGTGGCGGACCCCGGGCATTATCACACCCTTCATGTCCTTAAAATGTTAAAATATACCATAAGGTGTCACCTATAAATTTTGATCCAGTAACGAACGGAATATGTACAGAAGTCGATTTTAGTGACAACTAAATGACTATAATTATATTGTATATATATGTAAAATTATATATGAAGAGAGAAAGCAAGCATATTTTCTTGAAAACTTGATAGTCTAATATGAATAGGGGTAGCTTTAACATTAAATTTCTCAAGGAGGAAATTGCTGCTTCCTGACATGTTTATGGCTTTTGTGTTTAGGGTATTGATATGTAGTGACACCCCAGTATTATTTCTTGTTTTACTGCACATTTTTAACAATATAGTTATTGTTCAGAAAAAAAAGCTTGATACTTTAAAATTTAGTATCTTCACAATAACAAATGTGCTATTTTTTAACCAAGTATCATGAAGAATTTACTATATATACATGTACATGTAGTAGATTGTTTTGTTCATTAGTTGAAAAACTAAAATTAGATGTTAAATAACTTGATATTTGAATAAATTTGTTCTTTGTAACAGCTCAAAACATGCACCTGGCCACGATAAACATTAAAATTTTCATTGACAATATCTTTAATTACAATAGTGTCATAATGGTTCATTCACCATCATACCTGTACTAGGCACATGCAAATTTTCAACTTTTTTTACAAACATTTAACTTCACAACTATGATGGGGCCCATCGATTGTTTTGAAATACGGTAATTCAAAATTAAATAAATATAAAAATACGTAAATAAATAAAGTAGAGACTTTGATTTCACCTATAAAATACTGAAATTAGTTTAAGTCATCTCAATTCATAGTAAATTAAATATGGCCTTGAAATTTTGTGGTTGCTGACTTTAAAATATTCATCTTTCAACTTTACATCCGTTGTGACTCATTTAAAACTGGATAAAGTTAACATACTTCTTTTCAGACAAGCATCAAGTGTTACTTTCTTCTAAAATTTCATTTTTATTCATGTTTTTTTTTGTGTGTGTGCCTATTTTCAATATGTTATTATGTTTGTTAATTTCATGCAAAATAGGCTGAGTCTGTTTCACTTTTACTGATGACTTTTTTCCTAAAAAGTTTATATAAAATATTTATTGCAGAGAATTTTGTTGTATCCCTGATAATGAACATGAATCAAGAACTTAAGGATCATGTTTTCAAGAGTTTTCATAAAGACATAAAAGAAAAAATCAAAACTGTTCAATAGAATTTTGTTGTTAGAATATGATAACAGAAACATTTTAAAAAAAAATTGTGGTCACCATTTTTAGAATCCTTACTAAATACATGTACGTTGTAAGGATAGTACGTTAAAAACACTTTTTCAAAAAAATCAGTAAAATGTTTGTAAAATTCACTGCACTTTACAACTGTGAATGCACTAATTGCAGCTTAATTGAAAAAGAAGAAAAAGGAAGTCTGGTTGAACTTTGTAAGAATCAATAACAAATTCAGACAAAATTAGGCCGCCTTTGACTATTGATCTGTATGTTTGTGTCAGTCAGGTTTATCAATACATAGATGATCAGAAATATTCACGCCCTGTCAGCAGTAATGTCGCCCTTCTTTTGAAACACCTCTGATTGGAATTTCCAAAATAAATATGACAATTAGCACACATTTAACTCTGATAATTAAACCTTTTGAAAGGTATGTTGACAACAAATAATGCCATCTTTTACCTGGCATTGTTAGCAGTAAGACAGGATTTATATATCTTGACAGGGAAGATCACAACTCTTGGTGTGCCGCCAAATTCCTTGTCGACCATGCATTATTATGAACGCAGGGCTAGAACCGCAGAATGAATGCCAAGATTTGCATTCTGTAATAAGAACAGTTCATTAATGATAAATGCTTTAGTTTTGACAAGAAAACAGTGTGTCAGCTCTTCAGAACTTGTAGAATCATGGACTGCTAAAAGTACAATGCAATTGCAAAGGCAAGACTTCAATTTCCGCATAGGCTGGCTTAACATAACCATAAGAAGGGATGTCAATGCTTCTGTTCATTATAAATAATAGCAAAGTTTTCTCTTATGAAATCAGAAGACCTAAGACTATTTTGATAAATTAGTATGTATCATAATTATATATAATTTGTCCGACTGAAAGGTCACTAAGAAAAGTCGTCAATATTCGCTATTTTCATCGCAGTGCTTAAAACCTTAAACCATTGTACATGTACTTGTTTATTATCTGAATTAAATTTAAGGCTTAAAGGTATATTTTCAGAAAGGTCAAACTGACCCAATTCTGATAATGTTGTTTAATACCCTGCAGGGGCATCAGGGTGTGAAAATACCATAGAATGTTTTCCTTTAACACAATAATGCTAATTATTGGCACTTACCATAAGTTGACATAAAACCTAGATCAATGGCTCAGAGGCTATCAACAATATTGCTTGAATATATATAAATATTGGTACACTTGTGTTTATTCAGTTGCACAATGCATTGAAATAAAACTTACGTAAGGACTTTTGTAAGGTAGATTGTGTGTCCATGATAGCTTGATTTTTTTCAAAAGATACAGGTGCATGGGTGGGACAGGAGATCTGGCCGGTCAGTTTTCAGTGACCTGGGGATTTAGGTAGAGACAGATTTGAAAATAACGATTAATAAACAGATCAGTCACATGGATTTGAAAATTGCTTGTTGGAAGTCATATTTGCAGGACCATTGGTAAATGAAATTCGTCCTGCAGTATGTACAGCTTTTAACCTTTGAACAGCAGTTGAAGTCAGCTGTTACTTAGTGTGTGTACATTTATTCACCAAAATGATTTAAACATTCCTAAATAAAAAATTCCCTACAAATTAAATAAACAAGTGTACAAAAGAAAAGATCAATCATAAAAATGAATCATTTTTTTCATTTTATCAGAGAAGATCATGTTAAAATCAATCATATTAAAGGTATGGTAGGTATTATATCTTATAATAGATCAAACAATGTGTGGTTTTGTGTCCTGACACTGACAGGAAATCATAACATTTTTACCTGTATCCAAGCTAATTTTAGAAATAAATTGACAAAAAATTGTTTCAACTGGTGGGTTTGTCATGACTATATCTGGGCTAATTTTGGCAAGGTAAATTAGGTAAATTGACACAAAAAATTCATTTCAACTCATTCGGCCACCGCACCCTATCCACAGGTTTTCTATCGTTTGACTCACTTGGTAAATTGAGATATCTGTGCAGTTTTAAGATAAAAAAAAATGTTAATTTTGATTTTAGAGATCATTTAATTTGTTACCTGCCAGTCAGTGTTATAATAAAATTTACTGTTGTGAGTGACCAGAATTATGTCATTAATAGACGTACATGTATATATATTTTTACCAACTGCTACTAAAAGAATTGATATTGGACTGTTCTTTTAATATTCAAATTAAACCTAACAAAGTACCCATTAAACAAAGTTAGCACGATAAGAGTTAAAAAGGAAAATTATGTTAGTTGATCATATTTACTAAATATTACATGTACATTATACATGCTCATCAGTGGAGCTATAAAGGGAGGTTCAATTTTAAGCTTAGCCAAATTAGAGTAATTTAGACATTTAATCAAACTTAAACTTTTTTTTGGTCATTCAACAATTGTAATGATTATTCTGGTAAAAAGCAAAAAAATCTGATGCACGTTTATTGGTTCAGACGTAACGTGTGTCAGTTACGTCAATAGGAAAAAATAAATCCAGTCCTGTTATATCCAATGCCCTAGTTGGTCAGCCCCTTTAAAGTTAAAACGTTTGTTCTGTCATGTCTTACCCTGTAGGTATCAGGTGTCATTTTCTTGTGTTACATGCAGTTTCATGGAAGAAACCACTTAAAGTGTAATTTTTGTAAACATTTGGATGAAAAGGTCAGGAAACATGTCAAACATTTCATGTTTAATCTCTTGATTGAATGTGATTATAATTTGATTATTTATATACACAAAAGTCAACAAAATGTACAATACAGGTAAAGATGCCGCAGATATGATATCTCGGTTCCTGACAATACCGCACAAATATTTGGTCAGATATTGTCAGATACGGTCAAACACGGTGTTAGGGAACACAAATTATTATGACATTAAAAGCACGTAAGCTGTTTGTCTACAACACTTATGATAAATATTTCTGACCATATGTAATTTGTTTACACCCCAAACACAAAATAAACATAGTAAACAATGACCACCCCACAAGATAAGTACATTTAGGTAATCTTTACTTACAAATAACTTTCCAGTAAGGAATGTTGATCCGTCGTTGATCCTGTAATTAACTGATCAATATCATTTAAAATTGAAACACTGCATGTACATTGTAAAAGTAATTTTAAAAAGTTAATAATTATTATAACTATATCGATTGGCTGCATTATACCTTTAAAAAAAAATTCTTGTTTTTTATATGGTGCACATTTAAGTATAACTTAAATTGTCTGAAGAAATTTAATTCGTAACAGCAAACACAATATTTGAAAGATGGAGATAATCAGATTGTGCTGTTGTTTTAATTTCAACAGAAATTGTTTCAGGATTGAAATTTTAAAGACAAATGAATTGCTGTAGATTATTATAATTATAATTATAGATTGACATACTAACATTTTGCTTGTCATTTCTGCACAATCAGCTACTGCTAATAAAATCATTTTGTCAGTTTGCAAGAGAAATTTGAAAAAATTTTGGGATACATTCTTAGTTTAATAATATATGTATTTTTTACTTTCAGAAAAAAGAAGCTCATTTTCACTAAGCCGGGAATTTAAAACTGTGATCACGCCAATAGATGTAAGTACATCATACTAATTAGAGTATGAGTGGGTAGCAGTGGAAATATAGTTCTCTTCAGATTCAGGGATAGTGCGTTCGAAACTTTGCAGCTTAACTCAAAACTTTTCCTTCATGTTTAAAGAGCCAGTTAGTTAGTTTAAGTTTCAAACGTAAATTTTTTGTTGGTTTATTATCTCGTGTGCGCAACTTAATTATCTCGTTCCCACAAGTTAGTAACTCGTGCCCACACAACATAGTATTTTGGGCGCACCGCTTAATTATGGACTTGGCAACAAAATGGTATCTTGTGCGCACCACTTAATTTTCTCATCATCATGCCACAACTTAGTAATTCATGGCCATAACATAGTATCTTGTGCGCACGAGGTAAATAAAAATGCACAAATGTCACCATTGTGCCACTGTAATTTCTTGATGTAAGAGGATTTTTATTTTTATTCTACTTAAGATAACTGTTATTTGTTTGCATTTCAAATAGATCTCTGTTCCATTAAATGTCTACTAAAAACAACCTTTTTATCAACTTATGGGAAAACAAAGTCAAAACATTCCACTCAGATAGAATAACGACTGTCATCATAATGTTTGATTATTTTACTAAGTTTAGAAATCATTAAGACATGGACAGGTATAACTGTGTAAAAATACAGAGCTTTGACATCGAAAGTATTTCAAGTATTTAAACTGCACATAAAATTACCTCATTTTTTTAGTCAATTAATCGCTCTAGTGCTTAGTTAATTGTTACATTGATTAAAATACTTTTACGTAAAATACACGAGAATGATATCAGCTATAAATAATGTTGAACTGGGACTGAATTAATTGATAGGTTTTTTTTGTATAAATAGATTTTTCTCATGAATATAAATTACTTTTATCTTTGTTGATTGATGAATTGTATCAAAATTGATTTTATTTATATAGAATGTTTGTTTAAGCAAATTTTTCAAGATATCTACAACAATTATCTTGCCAACATATTTCGTAATAACTTTTAGCTAAATGTCAGTGTTTCGAAGAAAAAAGTCAAGCTTATAAATAAATATTCATAATTATTGCTGCATCATCGTGGTTGTCATTGTGCAAAAACTAAATGTAGCCCATTATTCAAATATTTATGAAACTTGGAAAACTTGTTTTTCTTCAGAAAAGGTGCAGTTGTTACACAAGGGGTAGAATTCTGAATGCTATATTTGTGGAGTTATGCCCCCTTTTAACTTAAATTTTTTGTCAAAAGTGGTTATTTTAATAGACAAGCATTAAGCTACAGTCTCACTTACATCCCGGCAGGCTTGGTAGACGTCCGGGGTGATCCGGGAACGATCGGGTACGACCGGGAACAACCGGGGTTCATCCGTACCTCTGCCGGCAACGTCCTGGATGATCTGGGATGATCCGGGAACATCCGGCATTCGACCCCGGATGGAATAAAATATTTAATATCACCGGGGTGGTCCGGGATGATCCGGGAAGGTATAGCTTTGCCGGCTTCATCCTTAGCTCTGCCGGGAACGATCGGGGTTATACCGGGAAAGCACCGTAGCTCTGCCGGCACAAACCGGGGATGATCCGGGGTATGATATAGCCGGTAGAGCTACGGTAGAGCCCCGGTCTATGCCGGCAGAGCCCCGGTAACTACAGGCAGAGCCCTGGAGGATAAAGGTAGAGCTACGGTTGATCCCGGTAGAGGCCCGGCAAAGCCCGGATCATTTCAAAAGAATAACGACAATTTGCGATGATTGCACTTGTTTGTATTAAAAGCCTTCCCACTTCCCTTCTATCCAGTATGGCATAAGGATTTTTTCAGAAAATCATCATGAATTACTATTCTGGAACAATACTGATATTATATTAAATAAAAATTATGTATCAATGTTATCATTTTCGGGCGTTTTCAATCCACCGGGGTTCTACCGGGGCTCTGCCTGGATCGTCCTGGGCTCTGCCGTGGCTCTGCCTGGATCGACCGGGGCTCTGCCTGGGTCAACCGGGGCTCTTCCGGCGTCATCCGGGAAAGACCGGGGAAGCACCCGACAGGCATGATCCGTAGCTTCACCTGGGCTCTGCCTGGATGATCCGGAGCGCATCCTGGGTGGTTAGTAGGGAACTACCGTAGTGCTGGCAGGGTAAGTGTGACCGCAACAATAATTTCATCCCGGATCGTCCCGGATCATCCCATAACTTACCGGGATTGTCCTGGGCTCTGCCGGGAATAAGTGAGACTGAGGCTTTAACACCACATGCAGTGTGGTTGTTTTTTCTTTTATAAAGGAGCAATAGTGAATTGGTTAAGGTTTCTGCCTCTCAGTCCAGGACTTTGTAGGTTTAACCCTTACTTAGTGGGGTTAAAGACTGTTTTCCCACATATGACACCACCTAAAACTGATTTATTTCTTTTAAAAATACCAGTACATTAAATGCATTAAATCAATATACCATCATTTTTGTTATTTCAATACTAACATATAATATTCAAATAAAAAAAATGTACTTTTAATAGTACAAATACATTAATGCCACCCTGGTATAAGGCCGTTTTGAGACCTTCACCCCAGCATTGCTATGATAACATGGTGGCAGTGATTGTATAATTATACAGATCATATTCCACTAAAAGGCCTGGCAATCTTTGATATTACATTTTATTTTCCTCAAACTAAATTCAGGATATATTTTGGACATTTTAATTTCTTTGGATTTGTTTGAAATATTTGCTTATTTATATTTAATTCTCTTGCCATACCTGAATTAACTTGTGAAATATTACAATTTATTTCAATATTGTACATTTTTTTGTAAGTTTATAGAGAATTTACCTGTATTTTTTAATTTATAAAGAAGTATATTTTAAAGCTACACTGTCCTTAAAACTTCTAGGCCAAGGGCAGATTGTCATAAAAATCTTATTATTTTGAATCACCAGACTGCATATGTAACAGTATTTGTCATTAATTATGTCTGAAAAATAGTTTTATAAAATATATAGTTTTGGTGAAAATTTAGCGGAAAGAAATTGCCGAAATACAGCAGTAAAAATGACATAACATACACTTAACTCCCGTCATCTGGTTATAAAATCAAGTTTCATTGTGATCAGGCAACTTTATGACGACTATTTTAAAGTAGATTAGAATTTTATTTTACTTAAATGCTTTTTACATACAATTGAAAAGGACTTATGAAATGTCAGCGGAATTCTTGCCTGGCAATTAAGAATTTATTACGATTCTTTACTATGACCATGCAAAAATTTTGTTGTAAGTTTGTAGTGAATAAATGACCTTCATAGGACTGATAATCTACAGGTCTTTGACAACTGCTTTTAGAAAGTCAAAATATTTAGGGGCAATTTTTAAAAAAAAAAATTTAGATTGCGTTTGGATAGGAGATACTGGCCAAATCTTAATATGCAAAACTATTTCCTACTATTAATAAGTGAAACACAGCTAAAAACCTTTATGACTGAATTTTTCTTGACTATATATGTACTTTTATATTGTTATACCTGTCATAGATATTTCCCAACATCTACAAAACTATTTGATGTTTTAGGTACGACAAGCCCTGGGAACTGCAATATACAAAGCTTTAGATTATGGTCTGAGTGAGTCGGAGGAGCCACACTTGAGTCCGGAACTTGAGGAGCTAATAGAGTTCCTCACTGATCACCCATTACCCACGGACGATGATGAAGGTATAGATATAGAGCGAGATTCCGACCAGGATATCGAAGATAGTCAGAATAGAGAACATTCAGAATTCCAGTACATCATTGATGTAAGTGCAGTACACGCAACACATCTGTAACAGTGTAGTACAGGGGTATTTAAGGGCCGCTTCCCAAAAGAAAAATTCTTTAAAATCATGCAGTTTTCCCTAAAAATTGAATTCACATCAAGATTTTTGTTCCCTTTTGCAAATCTAATTTCTCAGAGAAAAGTAAAATGTCATTGTTCCTGATATTCTACAGGAAAAATTTAGAAAATGTCAGAGTTAGCTAGATATATTGCCACGATCAATATAATAAATTTCTTTATAGTTCCTTTTATAACAGTGGCGCCTTTCTAAGAATGAATTAATGTGTTTATCGCATGATTATAATTTTGTGTTCCATGTTGGTAATGATTCCACTTGAACGTATAATGACTGTCATTCAGGTCAGAGGGAAATTTTTTATAAGGTCATGTATATTAGCTGCTAATGTTATGATATATTTTAGAGTGAACCTATTAGACTGTCACCGTCTTGTTTGAAATTTGAATCTTATCCTTAATTGTGTAGGTATAGAAAGTTAGGCTGGCCTTTTACATGAAATAACAAGATTATATTCATTATTCAAACACTTCTTTTTCGGTCAATTTTTTTCAGTGACCTAGCATAACCAAAAACAATAACGAAAAAACACACAAAAAAGCAACAACATAGAACAGGTGTTTCTTGTAATTTTAAGAAGGCTGTCATTTAGGCATTTTAATTGTTTGGGTTTTTTCTATGGGCTTAATACGGTAATTTTACTTCAGCTTTGCTAAATTTAGGTTAATTAACTGAATACTTTTGCTATGAATTTGTGAATGTCTTCTAATTATCGTAAATAATGGCCTTATAGGCACCAAAGATTAAACTGCTGCCCCACTCACTCCTCACAGCTACTGGGTCAAAAAATCTAAGCTTTACTACATATTTTATACACAATAATTATATAACATGAGATAAAATATGTTAGCTTAATACTACATATTTTAAACACATAACATAAGATAAAATATGTTAGGTTTACCACATATTTTAAACACATAACACAAGATATGTTAACTTTGCTACATATTTTAAACACATAACATAACATAATGTACAGGGTGTTTCATAATATGTGATTCACTTTTAATCAAATGTCTCGTTTATGTAAGAATGTCAGTAATAATGAAAAATGTACCATATTAGAGGGAAATGCTGTCCATTTATAAAAAAGCAGTTTTTTCCTTATTTAACCTACCAATAATATATTTTAGCTACGCTTGAAAACAGGGTCCATTTATAGCATAATTATACTCAAAATGACGTCCATTATGGCGTCGCACCATCTCTACACGTTTCATGAAGTTTTCCATCACATTATTGCACATGTCACTAGTAATCTTTCTTACTTCACATCTAATGGACTGTTTAAGCTGATCTGTTGTCTTTGGCTGCACTTTGTAGACTCTGTCCTTGTATACTTTACTACATATTTAAAACACATAACATAAAATAAAATATGTTAATAGCTTTACTAATTGCTAAATGTTGAGATTTGATAACACGAACATATAAAATTTATAGTTTGAGATAAAATATATTTTTGCATATTTTAACTTCATTCATGAAATTGAATTAATTAATAAAATACTGACAGGAAGAGAAAAAACCTGATTCAGGTATAATAAGTACCATCTCAGATGATGTGGGTTGCACAATAAAGGTACCCAGGTAGATATCTCAAGTTTCGGTGTTATAATCATTATTCTTCCGTTCTTATTTAAATGGGCCAACATTTTTGTCGTGGTTTGATACCAGTATTAGATTGTCAGCAAGATAATGTGGTAAATGATGATTCTTTCATAGATATATCATAACACAATGTTATATTAAACGTAATGTCGGGCAATTTTTCTTTTTTGTAATTATAATAAACCTGAGTTTTTAATTTTTACCCAGTAGAGCTAGAGATATATAATTAACATTTTTGTATTGACAGTTGTCTTGTATGTATAAAAGGCGATGGATCTTGTAGGTATTTGGTCCATTCTAAAGTTTTGTAATGGAATTCCACAAATCAAAAGTGCTGATAACAAAATATTTCATGATTAATATTCACTTGATCAGGCCAGACTGGAAAAATACTTGGTTTCTGAAACATAATATATAGATGCAAAATAATTTTTTTTTTTTATCAAATACCCATGCCGCTTTAGTACTGCATAATAATGGTTTTGCATGACTGTGTCTTATTTCGACACGACGTCATTTGCGTTAAACAAACATGTAAAGACACTCATTTGCGTTATACAAACATGTAAAGACACTATACTACAGGCACGTCAATGAAAAATTACTTTTTTAACTTAAAACAGTCTTTATTTTTGCTATGTGATATACATAGAACATTAAACATGATTGTGTACTAAGTTCATTTCTGAATTTATTGAACTGGTTGAATAAGATAATATCATGCTTGCCAGAGAGGCTGAGCCATAATATGATTGTATTCAACTTGAACCTACACTCATTCAATATATAATATCCTCTATATAAATAAATGATATTTTTCATTTTGTGTGTATATAGTTTTTGCTGTATATTTAAGTCATTTAAAAGTAATGGACAGTCATTAACTTAAACTTTAACCTTAAATATAAAAGAACCCACTGGAAACTCTAATCTCTAATACAAAAAAATTTACTTTGTGTGTCGGCATACATTTGTTTTTAAGTTAAAGTTAAGTTTTGAAATTCAGTAAATGGGGAATTTAGTAAGGCATCACACAGTATTAAGTTCAGTTCCCTAGAGTGTATGAGGTTTTTAAATTTTTATTTAGATTTGTTTATTATATTAGTTATGGCACCTTAGTGTTAAGTATTACAACAAAATAGTCCTGGAGTTTAGTGACATGAATCTTTATAAATAGTGCACATTAATGTATGCAATTTATAAAACTTGGTTAGGTCAATGAAAGGCTCTGACATTCACTGAAATGTTTTATTGCGTTAATGAAAACCAGGTTGAAAGGTTATTTGACTTTTAATGATGAAGATGTTTTTAATCAGGTGAAAATATCAAAGGAACACTCTTTAATCATGACATTCCATAGTTGTAGGGAGAAAAATTTAAGAGGGAGTAAATTGTAATTGCTGCAGGGTAGGCTTTGTTGACCTGATCAAAGGCTGTTTTGATCAGGAAGCTGAAATTGTTGTTGTTTAATTCACAGTTACAGTTTTATAAATTGTTCATCAGGCTTTAAAATAAATGGCAATTTTAATATATGTTATATTTGAATATATGTCATAATATCTGTGCAGTCAGACCCTTGGCTCTTTTAATTATATTCTGTTTGCTAACTTTTGTTATTGTATTATTGATGTCTGTTCAACTTTGAATTGTCTGTTCCAAAGTCAGAAGTCTTACTGACATTGTAAAGGTCATATGACAGTTTTCCAGCATAAGTGGTGAAAGGTAAGAGTCAATAAGATGCTCCACCAATAGGAATCTTAACCAAGATGCTCCACCAATAGGAATCTTAACCAATAAGATGCTCCACCAATAGGAATCTCTACCAATAAGATGCTCCACCAATAGGAATCTTAACCAAGATGCTCCACCAATAGAAATCTCCACCAAAAAGATGCTCCACCAATAGGAATCTCCACAAATCAGCAACCTCTACCAATAAGAAGATGCAGTGGAGAGTGCATGCTGACATTATAACCTTTAAAGTGTTGGCATGTCTTAAATTGAATTTAGAATTAACAGTCTGTTACGGCTAATTTTGATACAATATTTTGATAAAACTAATAATCATAATACATTATGTCTATTTTAAATATCATCAATATTTTGATATATATCAATTTGTTTTTTTTATAAGATTTGTAATTAAGTAATTTAAGTTAAATTTCACTGGGGCTTGCATTCCCAGATAAAGCAAAATGCAAATTTAACATCTTAATTTATGGAAATGTTTGGGTTTTTTTGCTTTTCAAAACCAGAAAGGTTCCGTTTTTTTATTGCACTGAAATATAGTTATTCACTATAGATTTATAGGTTTTGAAATCATTTTATAGACGTGTAACCAATTTCAAGTGTCAGAATATTTCATCTGAGGTTTCTTTATTGCCTTAATTTTAGCATTGTTGAGAAAGTAAAATCACTTACATATACAGTATATTATATTATATACAGACCTGCCTCATTGTATGATCAGTGACATGTGAAATTTTTAAAATGAAACAGCAAATTTTGCCCTTAACAATATTTCATTACATTTTTTACATTTTTTCTTGAACTCTAATTAAAGACAGTTCTAAGGAGTGAGGAACTGATTGTGTTATTAACTTAATAAAGTCTAATGAACAGAAAGGTTTGTTTAAAATGTTGAGTTAGTTTGAAACTTAAATAAACAGGTTTTTACCTTGTTTATGACTGAGGTTTTATATAATGCAATTAAATGCTTGACTGTAAAATGTTTACTTGAGACCTCCTTGTCTACTTGAGGCAGTCTTGACACTTGAGGCCATCTTGTTTACTTGAGGCCTTGTTTACTTGAGGTCTACCGTCTTCTTGTTTACTTGAGGCCATCTTGTTTACTTGAGGCCACATTGTTTACTTGAGGCCATCTTGTTTACTTGAGACCTTTTCATTTACTTGAGACCTTCTTGCAACTGTCTTGTTTACTTGAGGCCTTCTTGTCTCATCAGAGGCCATCTTGTAAATACTTGAGGCCAAATTCTTCCTTACTTAAAGACCTTCTTGTCTACATGAGGTTATTTTGTTTACTTGAGGCCATCTTGTTCATTTGAGGCCTTATTGTTTTCTTGAGGCCATCTTGTTTACCTGAGGCTGATAATCTTATTTACTTGAGACTATCTTGTTTACTTGATACCATCTTGTTTACTTGAGGCCTTCTTGTTTACTTTAGACCTGTTTAGTTTACTTGAGACCTTCTGGAGACCTTCTTGTTTACTTTAGGCCTTCTTGTTTACTTGAATTCTTCTTGTTTACTTGGGGTCATCTTGTTTACTTGA